CACAGTTTACTACTATGCCAAGGATGAAAAATCGATCTAGTGGTGGTGGAGCTAGGGCAAACACAAGAAAAAATAAAAATCGCTTAAACTTCGTTTTCTGATGTTTCAGTGGTTCTCGAGATCATTCTCGGAATTTTTTTTGGAGGGAATGAAACATGGAAGTTAGGGGCTATAGGGGACAGCGAATTGTAACCGTAACGTCTTTAGTATTATTTAAAGACGTTGTATCATTAAGAATCCAACTAACAATTATCACTCCTATTAGAGTTGCAAGAATGATTATACAGTATTCCTTACACAGCATTGTATACTGTAAGAACATTTTCAAAACCCTCTTAGAACAGCTATACAAGCGGAATGGGCACACCTAATAGGACACTTCAGTCATCTAAGAGGTTGTATAAGGGCTGCAGGTAACAGTTATACAACAAAAGTGTAAGCCTCTTGCAGCCGCTATAGGACATTTGCGTCAGTGCAAGATTCAGTTTTCTTCCACAAATCGTATATTTAGACATAATTACACTAATGTTTATCACTTTATATCTGTAATTTCGAACTGAAACATAATTATTTAATATTAAATAGAGGAATACATGTTTGCCCAATATGGCGGGTGGTTTATTAGAATATTTTGGTGTTACCTGCAGGTGTTATACAACAATTTGACAAATGTCTAAAATGAAATACCAACAGAGTCGAATGATTTACCCAGAATTTGCACCAGATCTATATCTTCTGTTTGAACAGTCGATAAAACCTTTTGAACCAATATGCATGCGTCGTTTGTCTTAAAACATTGGTTATGGCATTTTAACAAAAATATGACAGCAGAAAGTTATGTTATGGTGAAGTTGTATACCAACATATTTAGCATATGTACAGCCTTTAACAGTTACTAAACAACAGTTGTATAAGTGCTTCCGTTCTGAGCAATTTGTTGGCTAAAGTAGTAAATTGCACAGCAAACAACAAGGCTCCGGTTTGTTTTATAAACGTTACCATCGATGCCACAACACAACCATTTTGACTAACGTGAAAAAATGCCGTATAAAATAATTGTATAAACGTTTAAGCAACAGTTAAAAATTTGCCCTATAAGGTGTTGTATAACTATGCTATAAGACTATCTTAAACACCTCATTTTAGAGCAAATATGTTGCAGAAAGCACATTTTGCATTCCACACAACATTAAGCCAGCATTTTGGTGTTCAGGCAACAACAGTAGAGAGCTTTTAAGGCTGAATGGTTCTTTTACCAAAAGCTTATAACACTACTTTGCTAGGTGGGAAGCCTCTGATCCCAATAAAAATTTTAAAATTAAATGAAAAAGTCCGATGTACGTATATAATGTGCTCATAATTCGAAATAACGGCAATCGTTGGGTGGCGTCTTCACTGACACACCGCTACGGGAGAAATATTTATATATTTCAGCAATATTTGTATATTAAAAGTACGTACCACTTGAGCGTTCTGCGATGGTTTTGTAAATAATGACTTAGCTGTTCTTATACTAAGTGACATATAAATCCGAACACCCAGTTTAAATGGTTTTACTTTAATAAAATTTTGTATAAGTACTTAATGAAGCATAATAAGTAAATGATAAAAATTTCAAAATGATTGCACTGCTTTAAAGCCCTTTGACCTTTAATAAAGTGTGGATGCACCCTGATGTGCTACGCATCCTCCAACGCGCCTAGGCATGCTTCTGATCGGGTGGTCAATGTCCTCCTGTGGTATCCCATTCCAGGCAACCACCAACTCCTCTCGAAGTGCTTCTAGAGTCTGAGGAGGACGTTGCAAATTGAGCAATCTCCTACCCATCATATCGCACACGTGCTCAATTGGGGATAAGTCGGGAGATCTTGGTGGCCATGGTAACAATGTGACATCATTATGTTGAAAGAAGTCTATTGTAACATGTGGTCGGGCATTATCTTGTTGGAAAGTTGGATCTGCCAGGGTGTCAAGATAGGGTAAAAGATGGGGTTCTAGAACTTCGTGGATATAACGCTGCGCGTTCATGTTACCTCTGTTGAAGATTAAAGGTGACCTGGAACCATAAGCTATAGCACCCCAAACCATAACTCCAACAGTGTGATGAACATGTCTTTCAACAAAAAACTGTGGATTCCTCCTTTCACCACGTCGCCTTCTAACCCTGGCACGACCATCGTGCATGCCTAAACAAAATCGAGACTCGTCACTAAAGACAATACTGTTCCATTCCTGATCCCAGAGTGACCGTTGTCTGCACCACTCAAGGCGATTACGTCGGTGTTCTCGAGTTAAAGTGAGGACCCAGTGTAGCCGGTATGAAAACAAGCCAAAACTTCTCATTCGTCGGTAAACATTTCGCATGCCAATAGGTCTTCCGTGTTCTGCAAACCATTCATTTGCGATGGACCTGGTAGTGGAGAAACGGTGCCTTAAGGCCAATAATCTTAGGCGGCGATCTTCACGGTCTGTTGTTCTACGGCGGCGTCCAGTGCCCCTTGCTCTTTGCGTACGGCCTTCTCGAAGCCATGCCTGACAACACCTAACCACAGTGTCTACACTTATTTGCACTCTAACTGCAATTGCCCGAAAAGAAAGTCCAGCTTCCCGAAGTCCCACTATACGGCCCCTATCAAACTCACTAAGTTGACGAAATCGTACAGGTCTTCGTACTCTAGGCATCGTAACCGATCGTAAAGGATGTCAAGAACCAAAATCCGCCAACGTTGATTCTTTACTGCGGCTGAAATATTCATTTTTAGAGCGTTAGTGAATTAAAAAAAAGCAGTATAAAAACCGGAATGTCCAACTGATAAGGCTGAAAATTTTTTCACTTGTTATTTACAGTAAGATAAATACATTCACCAACTTTTATTAAAATAAAACCATTTAAACTGGGTGTTCGGATTTATATATCACTTAGTATATATCTATACATATATTTTTTTGGATTTCCTGATCCTTTAATACGACTAACCTGCATCTGCGATGGTTCTCTGAATATTTCGTCAAGTAGATTGATTCAATACTTATGACGCATTGATATACAACAGACTCGGGCTGACAAACCGACATAAACGAAAAATACGGATATGTGTGTTGCAGGTATTTTTAAGCTGTGTGACCCGAAATTCGAGTATTATCGCTAGCTTGATACTTCAATCGACGAAAATAAAATCGCTGGAACATATTGTTTCAACATTTCAGAGATTTCTGCTTATTTTCAGACATTGTTTGGAAGATATAAAAATTGTAGGATGCAAGCTGTATGCAGTAAATAGTTGTACATTGTTGCATATTTGGTATGAGTGAGAGACCTTCTATTATTAAGAAGCTACTGATCTCAGTGAAACTCTGCACCTAACAGACATAATGAGTAACACATATTTTCCTTACATCTGCCATGGAAACAGAAACCAGGTTTCAAGGTATTTGAAGTAATAACTGCTCAAGTCTCCTAGATTTGGAGCTCAGTAACGCTAAAATAGCACGCCGACTTAGGAGAAGCGACGCGAAGAGAATAGGTACCTTTACATTTACACTCTTTCCTGCGGGATTGGAACGCCCCGTTCCAATCACGCGAATTCTCGCGCGTCCAAGCGTGGCGCGTCCTAATACGAACTGTCTTAAAAATTACAACTGCTTATCGCACGGTTTGAGTGTGTGTCGTGGAACGGTATAGGATAAAAGTGCAAATGTAAATCAAAAACTGTCATCTTTCGCGAGTGATATTCGTGGCATGTGGAGTCTTGAAATTTTCAACAGTTTTCAAGGCGGTTTTTATCTTCATAATGGATAAAATAATTAAGAAACGGAAAATAAGAGCAGCTTTGTGCTTGGCTGTGTATCTAAATATTCCAAATAAGAGACAAAGAAAGTGTTGGGTGAAAACATGGGTGGAAAATCGCAACAGATATGGACATTTGCCTCTGCTTCATGAGTTGCGTGATAATTATCCCATGGATTTTAGAAACTATTTGAGAATGGATTCTGAATCATTTAGAATTTTGTTGGATTTGGTTTCTCCAATGATTTCTAAACAAGACACAAGATTGCGGGAGAGCATAAGTGCCGAAGAAAGACTAACAACTACTTTGAGATACTTAGCTACAGGTCGTTCGCTTGAAGATTTGAAATTTTCAATTGGAATATCTGCACCATCTTTATGTAAAATTATACCTGAGACATGTAAAGCTATATATGAAGTATCAAGGAAAACATATTTAAAGGTAAGATTACTTGTTTTATTGAAATAAACTTCTTGTGATAACAAAACTTGAATATAAACTAAAAATTAATTACTAAAATCCTGACTAGCTTGCTCATAGTAAGCTGTTATACTTGCTGAATCTAAAGCATGTAATTGAGATGTTCTTTCTGGACGATGTAATGAAGAATTTGATGAAGCAACACTATATGGGCTAGGCGGTGAGAAAAGTGGAAGTGGAACTGGTGATTGTTGCATAATTATCGTTGTCTCGGTTAATTGGTTTAATAATCCTTTATTTACAACTTGATTGATAAGCATATCTGCATAAATAGCCTGAGTTGGATTCATCTTTTTAATTTTTTTCGCCCACGAAATTGCGGCTGCATCAAATTCATCAATTTCATTTTTGCTTTCAAGCTGATTCTTGCAGTAATTCATGAAGTCTGTTTGGGTCTTATTTTGTTTAGAAGTCTTACTTCTTTTATTTGAGGCAGGCTTGAAGGCAGTTGGACTTGTTGGACGCGCATGAGATGTTGAAGGCACTTGTGATGAAACACTTGCAGATTTCTAAAAAAAAATATTATTTTAGTTTCCATCTACGCAGCAGGATTGGCTGGAAGTAGCAAATGGATTTGAACAAAAATGGCAATTTATAAACTGTGGAGGAGCTCTGGATGGCAAGCATATTCGTATTGTACCTCCTCCTCATTCAGGAGCACAATACTATAACTATAAAAATTTTTATAGTATCATTTTAATGGCTCTCGTCAATGCTGACTACGAATTTATTTTTGTCGATGTAGGCAAAAATGGAAGATTATCTGATGGAGGAGTAATTGAAAGCACCAACTTTTATCATAAGTTAATTCATGGTAAGTTGTTATACTTGTATATATGTAATTATGAATAATATAATTTTGTGGTTTTAGGCCAGTTACATCTGCCAAATAACACAGACACAGAAAATAATTTCAATTTTGTATTTTTGGGCGATGAAGCATTTTCTTTACATGAAAACTTTTTAAAACCGTATCCTCAAAGAGATCTTTCTTATAGTAAAAGAATTTTTAACTATAGACTATCACGAGCGAGAAATGTTTCGGAAAATGCATTTGGCCTGATAGCGGCAAGGTTTAGAATTCTGCATACACCAATACATATGAAGAACCCGGAAAACATCTGTTACGTTGTACTTGCTATTTGTTCTCTTCACAATTTTCTTAGGAAGCGTGATACTTCTTATACAACATCAACATCATTTGATCAAGAAAATCTGATAACTAAAGAGTTACAGGTGGGTGATTGGAGAAAAAATGCCGTTAATATGACAAAATTAGAAAGTCGTAACAAAAAAGTAGCTACCATAGCTGCGAAAACTAATCGAGATAATTATACAAGTTATATCAATTCAGATGGAAAAGTTGATTGGCAGGATGAAATGTTGGCCAAAGGAAAAGCTTAATGTATATTTTTGTTTTTAATAAATAAGTACCTAAAAAACTTACTTGTGTATTATTTACTTCTGTTTTCTCTTGAAATTCAACTTCTTCTTCAGTAGAGTGGTTGGAATTTTCTGTTCCTTCATCTTCCATGTTACAAATGCTTTGCGTGGATATTTCCTGATCAATAGTAAACTGGAGTAAGTCGAAATACCATAATGTGGGAGTATAAATTTCATCTGTACTAGCTCCACTTCGCTTGGATTCCTCTATCTTTTTTAATTCCTTCCGAAAAGAACCACGAAAACTTTGTATTTTCTTCACAACATAATCTCGATTTGCTTCTGGATGTAATTTTGTACAAAACTCGACTAATTTGTCGTAAGCAGCATTTTTCAAATTTCTGTTTGTATATTCTCGGGATTTGATTTTCCATAAGCATGGATAAGATTTATATATTTCAATAAACTCTGAAACAACTTCTTTCGACCAATATCGTGTATCTGCCATATTATCTACCTAACAATTAAAATAATTGAAACTTTGTATATGTTTATACAATAAAATACTTACCCACGCTAGAACACAATTTACGCACAATTGCCCGCGCGAAAGTAAAATGTAATCAAACGTCTTACCTGCACGAAAATCACTAGCGACGAAAATGCGAGTTTGAACACGTCTAAAAACCGAGCGATTATTTCTCATTTACACTGGCATGCTTTCGCACACGATTGGAACGGGGCGTTCCAGTCCCGCAGGAAAGAGTGTAAATGTAAAGGTACCTAATCGCGGCGACATTCGTCACTTGCATACTTTAAACCTGACACGGATCTTCCGTTCGTATCGGAGGAGTTTCGCTTCAATACATAGTGCAATTATTTCCTTGTTTTTCGAAAAACTTGATATTGCTTTCAGCTGGAAATCTGTTTCCATGACTTTCGTATATAAAACTTATCATTGGAGGTTGAAATGCATTACAAACTGATGATAAAATCTGCAAACTCACACCGGGTAGTGAGTCATTCAGGAACACAAAGCGGAGCAGATTAAAATCTGATTCGGCCCACTCCTTTCACCACGTCCATGCCAATGTCCTTCATGTCAAGCATTTTTTGCTTAATGGTCGGAAAGGAAGACGAAAGCTGCATAGAAAGGAAATAGTACAGGAGGCTGCATCACTCTAAAAACTGCATTTTTCGGTAAATAAATTATAGAACTAAACTGCTAGGACTTGTTTATTAGAGGGGAGTTTGAACCGCACGGGTATCACGTATCTTGAAAAGTGACATTATGCCGATATTTTTTTTTTGATATTATGTAGGTTTTTCGCCAAGACGTTGACTTAGGCCGATATCGTCAGTCGTCCCTACAATTGTAGGGCGCCTTTATGGCCTCCTTGATAGTCATAGTTTTCTGCTTCTCCGTGTCAGCGCTCTATTTTGAGGTTATGTCACAAACATCTATTTGCATCAAATTGTGCTTGCTTTTGAGTTATATCATGTTTTATCAGCCTGAAATTTCCTACAATTTAAAAAGAAAACATATCCTCACAATAGGAGAGCGCTGACGCTGACACGGGACAAGTGTAATCTAGAAATTTTTGAAGGAGAGAAACGAGTATGACAATCAATGAGGCCATAAACGCGCCCTACAATTGTAGGGACGACTGACGATACGGGCCTTAGTTGTACGTGTTGCCTAAACGTCATGAGGCTTGTTATCAATCTTTGGCTTTGATGTGATGTAAAATCTGCTTCTGAGATGGCATTGCTGGAGGTCTAAGCTGTAACTTGTATGTGTTGATGATAATTACATTAGGTTCTTGTCTCAAATACACTTAATTGAGATTCAAAGCTAGAAATTAGTTGCGTTTTCTTATCCATTCAGGAAATTACATATACATATTTGTTAAATTTCAAAAATGAGGGCGATAAGAAATAATTATATTCACTGTACACTGTCGAATTGCAAGCCATATACAATACAGTGAAAGCTCTCCTTGCGGACAGCTCCTATAAGCGGACATCTCTTTTAACCGGACAAAGTTCCTGGAACCGAATTTCAGCCATCAATTTTCAATGTTAAATGCATTCCGATAAACGGACGCTCTTATAAACGGACGCGGACACTAGATTTTCCTGTATGTGATCAAAAAATCTCCCATAAGCGGACGCGAAACTCTAATACCCGGACGATTTTTTAGTTCCGCTTATTGCAATGCACATATCTACATACATAAAATTCGGTAATTCCCCGATTTATATTAGGTGATTCCCCATTTACGCATTTCGTTGGGTAGCCTGTATGTAATCTTGTGGCTTGTCTTCAGTTCAGGCAAAGTCGTAGTTGATTGAGTTACGTATTTTATTATTGTAACTGTAAAATGGCACCAAAAAAAAGGATGCTCTCGTTAAAGGAAAAGATGGAAGTTGTTAACGTATTAGACAGAGAAAGTGTTTCAGTTCGTCATTTGGCAAAGAGGTTTAATATTGGGAAAACGCAAGCAGCTGAAATTGCCAAAAATAAGGAAGATATCAGGAGTAAATGGCAATCAGGAACTAATATAAATCAGAAGAAGGATTTTTTAAAAAAGGAAGGTTTTGCTATAGACAAAACATGTTTTGAGTGGTTTGTGAAAGCTAGAAGTCAGAACATTCCAATCTCAGAGCCGTTAGTGAAAATGAAAGCTAAAGAAATCGCCACAACTTTGGGCTATAATAATTTCAGTGCGTCCGACGGGTGGCTGCAAAAGTGGCGCAAGAGACATAGTGTGAGTTTCAAATGCATATCTGGCGAAGCTGCTGCAGTAGATCAAGTTGATGTGTCACAATTTTTGGAGAAACTTCCGTCCATGTTGCTTGGCTACAAACCAGAAGATGTGTACAACGCAGATGAGAGTGGACTTTTTTTTCGCGCATTGCCCGACAAAACTCTGTCCTTTAAAGGAGAAACATGTGTGGGTGGAAAGTTGTCTAAAGATAGACTAACCATTTTATTCTGTGCAAATATGGCCGGTGAAAAATGCGATTTGATTGTGATCGGGAAAGCGGCTCGTCCCCGTGCTTTAAAAAACGTTGCTATTAAGGATCTACCAGCGACTTGGAAATCCAACAAAAAGGCATGGATGACCCGAGAAATCATGTCTGAGTGGTTAGTCGAATTCGACCGGAAAATGAGAATCCAAAAAAGGCAAGTTCTTTTATTTTTAGACAATGCATGCTCTCATCCTCGTGATATGAAAATGAAAAATTTGAAAATTATATTTTTACCGCCAAACACAACTTCTGTTTGTCAGCCCATGGATCAAGGTGTCATACAGAACTTTAAATTTTATTATCGGCACTTGATTTTAAAACATATTTTAACAAAAATTGACGATGGTCAAAGCTTATCTGAGCTTACAAAGTCTATCAATGTGTTAGAAGCTTTGTATTTTATAAAAACAGCATGGAATAAAGTAAATTCCTCTACAATTAAAAACTGTTTTGGCAAAGCTGGATTCAGAAAAAGTGAATGTAGCTCAGAATTTGCTGAGCAAAATTATTGCGATGCTGAAGACGATCTGCCCTTAGCGACACTTGCTCAGTTACTGCGACATGCCAAACATTTAGGAGTAGCAGATCGCCAGAAAGTAGATGATTTCCTGGCCATAGACAATAACATAACAACAGAAGAAAATGCCATTGGCAACTTTTCGAATTTGGATGTAGAAAGCCCAGGCCAACTTGAATATGGTAGTCCAAACGACTCAGAAGAAGAAGTGGAACTGGTGGACTCACTAAGCGGTTCAAAAACGATAAATTCATATGGGGAAGCTCTAAATCATATTTCTATATTGAAAAAATTTGCTAAAGATGATTTCACTGCATTTCAACATTTGAAAAATTTAGAAAGTTATTACGAAAATTGTCTCCTTCAGCAAAAGGTGGTGAAATTTCGTCAGACAAACATTTTAAACTTTTTTCAACAAGCTAAAGAATAATGTTTTTTTTTAAATTCTCGTACCATGTATTGAAGCATTTATGTTTTTGTATGCGTATATGTACATATATTATATAGATATATAGCATAAATACATACTTTAAAAATGTGGCGAGTTTCTGTTTCATTTTTCTCATGATTATAATACCTCATTTCCTCATGATTATATACCCCGTTATTTATACTCTATACTTACATACTCTCTTTTAAACGGACACCTCCCATAAGCGGACAAAAGTTACGGAACGTTTAAATAACCGGTCATATTCAGCATATTCACTAATGATTTTCTTAGACAGC